ACTATGTTTAATAATTAGGTCTCAAAATTCTTAAAAACAATCAGCTCTTATGAGTTGATACAAACTGGCTCTGACTTGCCTTTGAGATGATCCTGAAAGTTCTGCGAGCTACATTCCTCCCTGATGTGGGAATTTTGAGAGGATTAAATAAGTAACAAGTATATTTCTCTACATGACTTCTGAACAAATTGAGAAATGGACAATATATTTATGGGAGCCAAAAGTTAACCTTTTTGATGATAATAACAATTGAAGAAAATGGCTTCAGATCTGATAGCTAATGCAATCAACAGCATTAGGCAGACTTATCCATGGTTATATGTTGAATTGTCCTCAAAAGATGTTGAAGTCATAACCCCTTGTACCTGTAAATGTGACTTTATTTGGAAATAGGGTCTTTGCATATGATCAAGTTAGGATGAGAACACTAGAGTGGGCCCTATTCTAATAGGGCTGGTATCCTGAGAAAAGAGGGAAATGTAGACACAGAGGTGGACATGTGTGGAGGAATGACTATGGGGAGAACCCCATCTACAAGACTAGGAATGCCTGAAATTACCAGCATGGAACAAATTCTCCCTTATAACCCTCAAAGGGAACAGCTCTGTTTAAACTTGATTTTAACTTCCAACCTATAGAACTATGAGACAATACATTTCTGTTGTCACCCAGTTTGTGATATGTTTTTACAACAGTCCCAAGAAACTAATACACCCATCCAGTCATGGCATCATTTGATAGGGGCAGGACTTCCTCTAAGGAGGGAACCCCAGTACAAAAAACACTGGAAAGTCGTACAGTAAATATACTCATTATCAAGATGAAGAAGGGTAGAGCTGAGCTAAGCATGCTCAGTTATTCGCTCGAAATGTAGTAATCAAATAAGTCACTGCAAATCCCTATGGCAGGTTGAATAAAGAAGTGAAAGACAAGAAGTGTGCTTAGAAAAAAAAACCCATCATATCAACTATGAATGTTCCTTTAACATTCACAAACACATGAGAAATAAATGTTTTTACTTTGATCAAAAATTCCAGTAGACAGTTTTTGAGCCAATGTCACATGACTGCAGCCTTGGGCACTTTTCCATATCTTTCTTATAATTTATTTTGATCTTCCATAGCACTGTTTTCTGTCCCTTCTCTCACCTTGCACATGGTCTCCTGTAAAGCCATCTCTGTTTAGCCTATCCTGTTACATAAGATGCTTACTTCATTTATATATTCTCTTTATAATCTCTGAACAACCTCATTTGTTCTCTTTGGCTCAGTTAGCAAACACAATAAAGATCGTTCTCACATCTATATCTGAGGTCCAGATAGTTTTAATGAACTCGGAGCCAACTTTGTTGCTAACATTCGATGCTTCCTCCTTGTTTCTACAGCAGGCACCTCAGCCTCCACATTTTCATAATTGAATTATCATATTTCTCCCTAAATGTTTTCCTTTTCTCTATTTTCTAACTTATTTTAGGACACTATCATCTATATTCAAAGACTAAAATTTGTAATTATTCTTTCCCCCATTCCTACCTTGATCATCAAGCCAAAATTGCCAATAACTCCCCAAATAGACTCCTTATTGGTTCTTTCTTCCATACTGCTTTCCTCCAATCAGTTTTGTAAATTGGAAGACAAGATTTTCATGAAACAAAAATTTCATTATGCATTTCCCTGCTTAGTGGCTTCTGATGGACCTCCAAGGAAAAGTCTAAATTTCTAAGAATCTCATTTAAGTTATTGCTTATGCCTAGGTTTTACTTTGTTATATGCATACACACTCATGTGTGATTGTATTTATATATATAAATACAAATATATATAAAGTAAATTCCAAATATATATATTTATATTCAAATTTAAATAAACATATTTATATTTATGATAATTTAACTTCCCTGTACTCCTGTAAACAGGCTACCTTATGCTCCCAAACTTTCTGCTGTAATTTCTTTATTTTCATATTTGATATTTTATCAGGAAATAATAGTTGGAGACCAAATCAACAACCTGAAGAACCTCTGTGCCTCACATTCATACCTAAATTGGTATGAACTATGAGACAATACATTTCTGTTGTCACCCAGGTTATGATATTTTGGGGCTAGGCCCCAAATCTGATGCCAATCACCCTCACCTAAAAGAGCTAAAGTCAAAATTTACATTTTTTAATAGTTTCACTTTTTTTTTGAAACTTTATTGAGGTAAAGTTAACATGTAAGGTTGTGTAACTTTAAGGTACACAACCTGTTGGTATGATACACTTAGTATGATTACCCCCTTAGTGCTACTAACACCTCCATAATGTCACATAATTACCTTCTCAGTTTAGTGCTATGAACACTTAAAATCTACTGTATTAACAACTTTTAAGTATGTAATACAGTATTGTTAACTATAATCTCAATGCTATGCAGGAGATTCCCAGAACTTACTCATCTTCTAAGTGGAAGTCTGTATTCTTTCACCAATGTCTCCCCATTTTCCTCACCCTTCACCCCAGCCCATGGCAACCACCATTCTACTCTCTGTTTCTATGAGTTTGACTCTTTTTAGATTCCACATGTAAGTGCTATCATATAGTATTTGTGTTTCAGTGCCTGCACTGTTCTGCCCACTCAAAGCTGAAAAGAAGTTGGAGGACTGGGTCAATCTAAGGTTGATCCTCTTAATCAAGGTAGATGAAGGGACTCACATACTCTAGAGAGCACTAAGGAGGTAGAGCTTAAAGGAGACGAGCATACTTTGCAGCCTGAGGACAGGAGATGGCTAATGAGCCGGAGAAAGGTAAGCTCCCAGCCACACAGCACAAAAAGTCAAAGAGTACTTGTGGGAATGACAGAGTGAATAAAAAAAATATTTCATTAATTATATTCTTGGTGCTACTTATCTTTCTAGTCCTTGTATCTTGGCTTTCCCTAGCTTAATTTCCCTAGTTTTATTCACATTCTCCTTGAGCTAAGAGATAAAGATATTACAGATTTATTCCCAATATTGGCAAATGTAAAACCAGATCACTAGGATTATATTTCAGTTGAAAGTAGAGTAATATTGCAAGGCACACAATATCCCTGAATGCTTTCTTCCTGTTAAGGCTAATTATCAGTGAGATATGGAAATGGTAAAATAACTTCTTCTAGCTGTTAGTGTTTGCAGTAGTCATTTATTGAAGTTTGACTTTTGAGGTGAGAGGATTGGCATTGATGTGTCTATTTTCTGTTTTAATTTTCCAAGGAAAGCTTCAAGTTATAAAATGCTTTTTTCTTCTTTAGAAAGTTCATAGATTGATGATGGCTATGGAAGGATGAAGCTAATGCAATCAGACCTATTATTTATTGTATTCAAAAGTATTTGTACTTGAATTATAATTCAACATTTACATTAATGTATATAAAAATGCTTATATTTTATCCACATATTACTGAATTATGTCAATATCTAATTGTCATGTTTAAAATTAACCATAAAAACTTCAAAATATACTGTGTACACATGTAATATTTAATATCTGCTATATATTTGTTTAAGAAAACATGTACAGCATCTTATAAAACAATTATGAGAATGTGGATAATCCAGAAGATGGTGCTGTTTACATTTCTACTGCATTTTGGAACTGCAGAGAAACAATTTATTTCTAATTCAGCTATTGATGGGTTGTAAATTATTGAGCATACCTGTGCAACGGGAACAGTTAATGTAGCTTTGCTCTTGAGGATTTCACATTTACAAATAATTTGCATAACATTTCCACATGAGGTAATAGAAAATGTACTGCTTCACAAGCAATCACACATTAATGGAATCTGATCAGTTGCAGCTATCCCAGTTATCTTCTGCCAGGAATACACTCAAATGTGAAAATACATATTAGATAAAATACCTATTTAATTTTCTCGTTACTTATATGCCTATTAAAATGCAACATGTAGACCCTTAAAGTGCTGATGATCCTTATTTAACGGAATGCAAATTTATTCATCCAAATAGTGAACAGTTTTATAGTAAGTTTTTCTGACATGTTAATTATGTACTATCCAGGCATTAAAGCTTTAGCCAGTTAACATAAATAATTGGGATACATGGTATTTATAATACATTTCCAATTAGTATTTCTAAATGGTATTGTACTATTCCACTTCATCCAAAGTTTAGTAAGGGGTCATATAAGCAATCTCATAACTGCTTATAGCACTTTAGGAAGGAGTTAAGAAGGTCCACCACAAACATTTACCAGGACTGTCACTTACAATGCTTGTTGCCTGTCTTCAGAAAGTCATGGCTCAAAAGCAAATCAAAGTACGGAAAGTTAAACATAGTTTTTCAATCCATAAGCAGCAACTTGACATAGAAATAATAGATGAAGAAGACCCAAAAATGCATGAAGTTTCTAGCACAGACCAAATTATAGCTAAATACTTTTAACTATGAGTTAATATTATGAACTAGAGGACTAAATTAGTGACATATTTTTTTTAAAAATATAATTGACATATGATATTGTATTAGTTTCTGGCATATAAATTAGATACATTTTTATTGAGAGTGGGGAAGTTTGCATGGTTTGAGTAAACTACACCTTTATTAATCTTAAGATAAATTATATAGATGATGTTTAAAATAGATGAAAAGAAAAGTCAATATTGATGCATTATTTTAATGATAGAGGCAATCACCCAAAACTCTAAAAGAACGAAGAAAACTAAAGTGTCAATAGCAGTTCTTCTGGAGTGAAGACATTCAGGTGAAGAAATGTAGTGTGGAAAATATTTAATTACATTCTCCCTTATTTGCTACTTGATTTTTTAAAACATATTATTATATTTCTTTTATACAAGATAAAAGGTATGCCTGGGAAAATCAAAACAGAAATTTCAAAGATTGGTCAGATGAATATATTTATCAGAATCATTTGGAATATTTTATGTTTGGTTAGTTTTGTTGTTTTTGAAGCTGTTGTTTATTATATTTAAAATAACTTTCCTGGGCTACTTTCCACAGAGCTGCTGACACACGGTTGGGCTTAGGAATCTGAATCTTTGACAAGCTTCTCAAGTAACTTTGCTACATGGCAAAGTTTGCAGACCCCTGCAAAATTGAAGCTCCAGAAGAGTCATACAGTGGCAGGAGAATGAGAAAGACATCAGATCTCAATAAACACAAGGCAACACAATGATGTAAACAAGCAACATTATTAAATAAAACAAGAAAGTACATGGAAGATTTATGTATACAATCCTTTTAAAACTTAGATAACAGAGGCTTTTAGTGAGACAAGTCTTACCAGATGACTTTGTTGTTTTTCTCCTGTACCACAATAAGCTTACTGTAACAATAAGTTATCTCATTTCATTTTCCTAGATCCCTTTCCCAAAAGTAGTTTTAAGATCTCAGTTGCCTAGAGCAAAAATTTAAGGAGTATAGTTGCAGCTGGTACTCCTGATGACTGCAATTTAGGTAAATAGTCAGGGCTTCTGGAAATATAATTGGGTTTCTTCATTCTCTTTGATAAGATCTCTGTTGAACTAATTTACAGATGCTATGCCTTTTCTAGAATTTTTAAGTTAAACATTCTTAGAGATACTTATATGCTACTCTTTGGAAATGAGAATTTAAAAGAGATTGTCCTTTTGAGCATGGTTATAGTCTGTCTCCAATGGTTAAAAGTATTTACAGAAAAATTATTTGGAAAAAAGTTCTTGATTCTGTCAACTTTTTCCTTATGTACGATATGCTTTCCTTTATTGTGTCTATGCTTTTTTTTGTATTATCGTATGCTCCCAAGCTTTTAAACAAATAGAAGATACTTTTTTCTAGAAATTGCTATCGACCTGGGAATGTTGCCAGAAGTCATTGTACTAATTAATTTGGTTTCCACTGATCTATTTTGTGATGAAGTCCATCACTGAATAATTATCCCACTCTTACTCTGGATAGTTTGCACAGTAATGGTACATCAACATGTATCCTCAAAGGCACTTGATGCAATTTTAAAACATGTGACACATATACAAAGTATAACTCTTATAATTTATTAACTTAATCTATGCTTACAAAGTTGTATGAAAGCAATCATTTTATATAGGATATCAAATTAGGTTTTGACTATATTCTTAAATATGATTTGCAAACTTATATGGACTTGATCCAGCAAAAGGTGAGATTTAATGCTCTATGTTATACATCATGATCAGGCATTATACAGTATTTAGTTTTTCTTAATGTCACCTTTTGAGAGAGCAGGGAATCATATAATTAATGCCTCACCTTTGATATCTTTAAACATGTGAGTTGATTTCCTGCAGAAATTCTGTAATTTAGCATCTACTTTTTATCTGTAAAATTTTCACTTCTTATTTTATATTTTCTCTATTTCTGCAATGATATGACTACAGTAAATGTTTATTTTCCCTTAGTTTTTAAGCACTGAGATACATAAGAATTTAAAATGAAATATTTGAAAAGCATAATGGCAAACTTGGCCTCTTGGTACTATCTCTGTGTGTGTGTGTGTGTGTTTATATAAATGGGCAGGACCTTCTATACTACTGCCCCACAAAATGTCTTTTGAACTAGCATTATATTGCTTTCATATTTTTTATTTGTTTATGCTTCTGGGTAAGATTTTCTTTGAAGAGATGGTTTCAAGGCTATAAAAAAATGGAACGCTCTTGCTCTAAGATATTAATACAAATGGAACATCACAAGTGCATTCAAGTGTTTCTTATTCAGCATTGTAAAAAATTATTTCTGAACACTAGCCTGCTCTTCTTTTTTATTGTATGCCTTATCTTTCCTTTTCAATTATTCACAGTCTCCTAAGGACCACTTTCAGTGTAAAATAATATCTATGGGAGGTAAAAGCAGCAAGAAATGTATTTCTGAATGGATTACAGGGAAAGATCTATTTAGAAATTTAAATGTATGTGGTCAACATAGAAGAAGATATATACACCTACTCAATAACTCTTTTACCCAACAGCTTTCTGGTTATAGCCTGTTTTAACCTTCTGATTTTCTTTCTGGGAAGTGTGTGTGCATATGTGGTTTTTTTTTCATTTCCTTTTATGTCCAATTTATTGTCATGCTGTGTAATTGATGTGAATTGAAGGACTTTGTTTCTGAGTATATTTGTACTATTTTTAGCAATATTCTGAAGTGATATAGGATATGTGTAGCCCATATTTATTTTTTGACCATCAATTAAAACCATGTTGCTGCCCTGCTCTTTCTCTCTATTCCCTAAAAAGTATTTTAAAATATTTGCAATTCTTCACCCAGCTACCCTTAAAATGAAATTCTGCCCTATTTATATTTTAATAATCTACTCTTCCTAAAGTTTTAGGTGATTTGTAAATTATTTCAAGCATACAAATAAATAATGAATAATAGAAAATAAAGTAACAGAAACTATGTATCCACACTCAAAGTATATTTAAGACATATGCCAGATTTATATTATTTACAGATATACTAATAGAGATAATACTGACATAATTAAAATAAAATTTCCTCAAATTGTAATATTCAAATGTTATAGATAACTCTTTCAATAAAATTTTGTTTTTTCTTTTTCAATTGATTATGGGATCAAATCTGTCCTCAAAAATAAATTTGAATTTTTCAAGAGGTGCAGAAATAATCAATAAAGAACATCATCCACTTAGCTTCTCTGCTTATACAGCCTGTATACAAGTATCTAGCTAATACCAAGGCACAAGACTCTTTGCTTGTCTGCTTATTTTGTTTTACTTTTTCCTAAAGCTTTGTAAGAAATGTCAGTAATTATTTCTGTATGTATGAGGCAGTTCTAAATAATATAAAATGAGTATGATTCAAACTAAAATTGATTTTAAAGTTTGTGTGTTTTGACCCCCTTATTAATTTTTTTATTTTGATATCATTAATATACAGTTACATGAGCAACATTGTGATTACTATATTCCCCCCATTATCAAGTCCCCCCCACATACCCCATTACAGTCACTGTCTATCAGCGTAGTAAGATGCTATAGAGTCACTACTTGTCTTCTCTGTGCTATACTGCCTTCCCCGTGCCCCACTTCTACATTATGTGTGCTAATTGTAATGCCACTTGACCCCCTCATTTTAATGGAAGAAGAATCTGAATCTTAACAGGTTTCGTTCTCCAGCCCCGAGGTGGGACCTGTTATTCATGACATGAATAAGGGTGATTGCACACAATTGTACCACATCTGAGGATGGACTTTGTCTCAAAATAATCAATGGAACGGTTTAGAGAACCACACAAATGTAAGGAAATCAGGGGCTGACAGTCTGCCTAGAGTGTGTGTTGTGGATTTCTTGAGAACTCATCAGGAAAACCTAAAGATGAACTATAGGTCACTGAGGTGTTTTTGTAGCGTATCCTCCAGTGATGGTTGGGCCAATGCTGACACTGCCTCTGGAAGGTTTCCTTCTATTTTGAGAAGACAGAGCCTTCAAACTGAAAGAAAAAGGTTATGTGGGCTTTTATAGGTATCTTGATGCATCTCTTAAAATACACAGCATCTGATAGGGGTAGAAGAAAAAACTGGAAACCTTCCTAACAAAATATTGATGAAATAATTGGCATGTATGCAATTAAGACACAGATTTCTCTTACAAATTTTGACTCTGCAGACAAAAAGTATAGCTATTAAGAGCACTGGAATTCCAGCCCCAGCTAGAATTCCATCTCAGGTATGTACCTGTCAATCCTGTAATCATATGCACACTATTCATTCTGCTTTAGCACTTTAAAAATGGTCTCCCTCCTAAATTCATTATAGATATTCAATGGGTTAAGAAAATCATAAAGTTTGGACAATGAATGGTCCTTAGAAATTGCTCAGTAAAGTTTGAATATTATCCAAATACAATGTTCTGGAGAAAAGATCACAGTCTTTCCTTTATGACCAGGACTCCTGTGTTCTAGTATGATCTTGTCAAGGTACGTGTTTAGCATGTTCACACCACTGGGAATTTTAAAAAGAAAATAAATATAAGAAATTCCATATGCTTAAGGTATAACAGGATAAAAAGAAGAAAACAGGGGTTTCTGACTAGGGTGTTTTCCTATCTTCTGCTTTTCTTATGCCATCTGGCAAAAAAAAAAAAAACAGTGTACTTCCAAGCACTGGAAAAACTCCACATTATTCCAGACCTCACTGGCTATGACTACTGTATCTGATTATTTTAGCATTCAGATGAAATCACTTTCCCTTTAATAGTATCTATGGTGCATGTTCTATGTTCTTTTTTCCTACCTCAGAACCTACCTTTTCTCACAAGAAGAGAGTTGAATCATCTACCAATTAAAAATCCATTGCTGCTCATAACATTGCTATCTCCCTGGGCAAGATCATTACAATACATTAAATCCATTCTGAGAATTACTTGAATGATCTAGATTTCAGGCCAAAGAGCTCTCTGGATATTAGCATATGTCAAGGATCTGTTTGTCTACAAAGAGACAGGATTGTCTACAAAGAAACTGTCACTAACATTGGTATGGCTTAGAACTGAGAGACTGAGCATTCCCACCCCAGGGAGAAGAGATGCGTGTGTGAACGAGGAAAAGAAAAGGCACATACATGTTTTAGGAGGCCCTTCTGATACTTCTCTTTCTCTGAAAAAGATATGCCCTTTTACCTTTTAACATTTTGACAGCAAAATGAAAGTCTTTCAATGTTTAATAGACTAAGAAAATGTGTAACTCGATATTGGCATTTCTAGAAAATAAATAAAAGGTCAATATATTTTCCTCTTTGAAAAATTCTCCCTATTTTTCTGAAAGAATATGGTTATAAGGACAAATAATTTTGCATATCCTCTACCTGTCCCACAAATGCAAAAGTAAAGAAATGAAAGAAAAGAGGGAGAAAAGAAAAGAGGAAAGATGGGAGAGTTAAGAAGGAAGGAAAGGAGGGAAGAGGGGAAGAAGAGAATGAAAAACTTACAACCACAGAAACAAGTTTAAAGCCTTCAAGATGCTTAAGATTATTTTAAGTAAAAACTAAAGAGATGCTAGAAAAGGTTTGTTACTATTTCCTTTTTTTTGATGTATTAAAATTTACCTCATTATCCATTTGTAAATAAACGTTAAACCTAGTCCAAAGAAGAGAGTTGGCTCTCTTTAT